AGCCCGGCGGCGGGGGCGCCGCGGCCCCCAGCCCCGCTGTCTTCTCCGTCCTCCTCGACCGTCCGCGACAAAGCCCAGCTCGGGGTCTGCGGTGGCGAGGCTCGTCCAGCGTGTGTTACCCGCGTTTCTCTCTCCCTTGCCACCCTGAGACTTCTCGTCTCCACCTGAAGCCCGAGGCCGAAGGAGGGTTGTTACCAGAATGAGAGTTACAGGACCAGCAAATCGGTTTGGAAACCTCCTGAGCCACTCTGACATTTTCCGGGCCCTGATGCTTACTGTTTCTTGCCCTTTGTTCCTATCCGCTCTTCAGAGTAAAGGAGATCATTATGCCATGGACAGCGCCAGAGCAACTGGTTTGCACTGCTGTAGTTAGAAGAAAATCTAATCACTCTGAATGGTGAGTGGTTGTTAAAACTAGTCATATAATTACGTGGATTGTCATTTCCTTACGTGTATTTATTTGCTTAACAGCCATATAATATACTATATTATCTAATCTAATAAAGATAACCTATGGGCACTGAGCAACGTTAATGTACTACCTTCCTGCCTCTGGCTACACCTAGGTAGCCTGTTTTTTGAGGTCACTATGGACTCCTAGAACCCCCTCAGAATATGCTTAGGAAGTACCACCAGCATACTGATGGCCTTTGATTCCCCATCAGCACTTACTGCAGAGGTGAAAGTAGAATAAACCCGTGTAAGATAGTATTCAATCGCTCCTGTGCATAGGAAAACTAGTCCTCCAAAAGCCATGATACCTCTGAAATGTAAACACAAGGTCTTGCTTATAACTGCTTTTTCTGGTTTTGAGAACTGCACTTTCTTCCCTTGGCAGATGCTATTTTTGCATTGTCTTGCTGTTGTAATTGAGCAATGACCTTGTTTAAAACAGCATCTGTAGAACATTAAACTCGAATTTAACTCTTGTTGCTACACCTGGCCAACTTACCTCTGCTCCAGGCTAGGTGTTAAGTTTGACTGCTCTGGGTGTGAAACCGCAGGGAACATTTGGACTGCTAAAAGCTACATATTGTGCTTGGTGTGTGTTTTATTGCAGGTAAACTAATTAGGGCCTCAGAATTGAACTTTGTGGCTCGCTCTAAAATATACATTGTTAAGAAATGGCCCAGTCACTCTTGCAGTTTCTTTCTCTTGAGTGCCTTTGACAGTGCAGAGGACACCCTGTGGAGCAAGGAACATAGCCTCTGCTGGTGCTGGCTCATGCTTCTGGCATGGAGTCCTTTCAAGTTCACAGAATTCTCCTGGCTTTTGGCAGGAGTTGGATTTACAGATTCTTTGAGTGTGTGTAATCTGCTTTCTCTGTATGTTCTTATTTACATACCAAGAAATTTGGGCATCTAAAAGTTAACCTATTACTTATACAATTCCTATCATTTATTCCTCAGACCTACTATAATAAGTTAATCCATTATACCCAAGAACAGTAAGACCGGGTGAGTTCCAAGAAGAAATGCCAGCTCTGGGAAAGAAGGCTCAGTGTTGACACTCCGTTTTTCAGAAGCTGACTCTCCTTATAATAGGAAATCCAGACTCTGCTTTATTTTTTCCTCTTGATTGGCTGCAATTTCACTGTTTGTTAGAACTTCCGCCCAAAACTACATAATGGGAATCATATGAGGGGGTAGACTCAGTCATAGGTTGTGATTTGGTATAACCTCCAGTAAAATTTTGGTTCGAGACCTGAAGACCACAAGGTGAAACTATGCTCCCCCTTTTCTAAACTACAAAGACTTCTTGGCACAACAGGAGCTCCTGCGGCTTATACAGCAGCTTCCTTACCCATGAGAGGGTCGGTTCCGAGATACTTCTGACAGTTTATAGTAATCCAGAGGTGCAGAGATTCTGCTTTGCACACTTTATGGTACCTTCTGTTCGATCTGGCATTATCATGGTTCCACTCAGAGCCATAACCTGGAATTGTCGCCTGCACAGCCCTCCCCTTCTAGTCTCTTTCCCGCATTTCATCTGTAACTCTGTCCTAAGTCTGCACTCTTTCTGCCTCTCTCTCTTGAACTTGCCTTTAAGAGCAATCATTCATTCCAAATCTATTATTGAACACTTTCCTGAGTACCAGGTGCCTGGACTGACCACATGGACACAGGGCACTGGCCCTCAGTAAACTCAGTCTCACTAGGAGAGGTACCAACGAGTCTCATACAACTCCTCGTGTCACATAGGGGTGCAGGCACAGAGAAGGTGTCAGGGAGGTCTATACAGAGGCAGAATTTCAGCTATACCTTGAGTCCGAATGCCTACCACCTAGATAACCATAGAACCACTTCCCCCCATTCACAGCGGTTGCGCTCTGTGGGCACTAGCTTCAAGGCAGCATGCAGGCTGGACTTCAGCCCCACAGGCCAGGCTCTCTGATGCAGGCACAGCCTGTGCAAGTATGAAGGCAGCCCCAAATGCCTACTACGTGCAGAATTCCTTCAGGTTTTGCATATGGAAATAGGTTTCCTAAGAGAACTGTCAAACTCAGATAAATAAGAAAATTTTACAACATAAGACAACACCAAATAAATGCTGTGTGATTGTGGCTAGGGAACAGTGGGGCATCTTGGTTTAGCAGTGAAGGGTGACAGCTGTCGTGCTGTGAGAGTCCCTTGCCAGGACCTGACTGCTTTATGCACCTGCCACCTTTCATCCCTCACAGACATCCCAGAGGGTGAGAATTATTGCCCCCATTTAACAGTTGAGGAATCTGAAACTTAATGAAACACCCCCAAAGGCCTGACTCAGAATTCAAACTCTAGTCATCTCGACTCCAAAGCCCAGACATTTACTCACTACACTTCACGGTCTTCCTGAAACTTGAAGTTGAAAAGTGAGCAGAATGAGGCTAATGATAATTAAGAAGAAGAATCTACAGACTATAAAATGGAAGTAGGTGGAGGAGAAAAGTTTAACAAGATAAGACGTAAGGGACCAGTTAGGAAGCCATTGTAACCATGTGGGCATGGGGTGAGGAGAGTTCAAAATGGAATAGTGTCTGTGGGATTCTAGAAAAGGCTGGAGGGGATGCATTTTGTGGACACTTTGAAGGGTAAATCAGTATAACTTGGCAAAAAAAAAAAAAAGAATCGAGAATCAAGGATGGGAGAAAACTGGTATTTTGGGAAGAAACAGGTACTATGGAGTGGGAAACTGCTTTGCGGGGAAAAAATCGCTCTCGTCCATAATTGTTCCCCAAATCCCTATCTATTTACTATTTTTTACTATTTTTTTCTTCATAGCAGATCACTACATGAAATTAATATAAACTATTTATTTGTTAGTTTTACCTCTATCAGAATACTGTTTTAGCCGCTACTGTTATCCCCGTAGCCTGGAACAATGCCTGGCACATGGTAGATGCTCAATGAATATTTGTTGAATGAATGAAATGTTAAGTGTGTGGTTAAAATATCAAGAAGGTGATTAGAGAAGGGATGTAGATTTGGAATTTATCTGTAGAGGTGATGGCAGAAGCCTTGAGAATAAGTAGAGGAATAAGATCACATTCATAAGGGAGAGGGAGGAAAAAGTGAAGCCTTAAAGAAAGACAAAGAATGGTCCTAGAGGCAAAAAGGTAGCTCAGTTCAATTGCTTATCTTTCCTCTCCCCTACATTCCCGCCATTCTTCATTTGTCCACCTTATTATGTAACAGGATTGCAAACAATATTGGCCTACATCAGGCCAGGGCTGCAGGACAGGTGAGATAGAATAAGAAGGAAGTTGCAAGGAGTAACAGATATCAAGAATTTTATGGGCAATCTTACAATTTACAAAATTTGCTAACTAACCTAATTTTTTAAAAATGCTAGACAAAAAAAAGCATTTGTAAGCCAAATTTGACTAGCAATTTGCAACCTCTGAGTTTTGCCCTCACTCTAGTTCATTTTAGCATCTTTTTTCTGTAATAGAGAAACAATAATTAAGGTAATTACTTCAATCAAGTCGAAGACAATATTTGTCCTTTACTTCACTGTCAAACTTCACAATGCATGGTTGATGTCTGTCTCTCCTTCCTTACTCTCCTCCCTTTCTTAATTTCCTCAAATTTCCTTTCTGCTTTCCATCCTCACTGTTTAATCTCAGTGCTGTCCTGACATTCTTAGAGGTCACCAGTGCCCTTTTAATGAATAATTCAGTGAGTTTTCTTGATTCTCATTTTCAAAAACATTTTAAGATACACTTGTATTCTTTCATTTCAATTCAAGTTAATATTGGAATTAAATGTATTTAGTCAAATTGTTGCTTAGTAGCATGCTATTTGGGAACCATTTTCGGGCCTAGGTGAGACTGACTTTTTTTTTTATCATCTTATTCATTTTTAAGTGTAATTCAGTTTAGTAATGTTAATTCCGTATATTCGTTGTCATACAAAAGATTTCTAGAACTTTCTAATTTTGCAAAACTGAGACTAACCATTCAACACTAATACCCCCATCACCTTCCCTGCAGCCCTTGGCAACCAATTTTTCTACTTTCTGTTTCTATTTTAGATACTTTATACAAGTGGCATTATACTGCATTTGTCTTTCTGTGGCTAGCTTACTTCACTTAGTATAATGTCCTCGAGTTTCATCCATGTTGTAGCATGTGACAGGATTTCCTTTTTTAAAGGCTTCATAGTATGTCATTGTACGTATATACATTTTCTTTATCCACTTACTCGTCAGTGGACGTTGGTGTTGCTTCCAGCTCTTACCTGTTGTGAATAGTGCTGCTGTGAACATGGGTGTGCACATCTCTCTTTGAGATCCTGCTTTGAATTCTTTTGGATGTACACCCAGTAGTGGGATTGCTGGATTGTATGGTAGTTCTACTTTTAATTTTTTGAGGAACCTCAATACTGTTTTCCATATAGCTGTACCACTTTACATTCTCACCAACAATGCACAAGGTTTCCAATTTCCCCACATCCTTGCCAACATTTATTTTCAGTGGCCATCCTTATGAGTGTGAGGTGATATGTCATTGTGGTTTTGATTTGCATTCCTCTTACTGTTAGTGATGTTGAACGTCTTTTCATATGCTTATACATTCGTATGTCTTTTTTGGAGAATTGGTTATTCAAGTTCTCCCACCTTTATACTCTGTTAATTGTTTTCTTTGATGCACAGAAGTTTTTAAGTTTGATATAGTCCCATTTGTTTGTTTTCGTTGCCTGTACTTTTGGTATCATATTTGATCCTAATTATTGATACTTTCGCTGTTTTTAACAAACCCACGGTTTTTGAATAAATTAATGAATGAATTAATGAATAAATGCAACACAGATTTTTTAAAAGTACAGAAAACATTCTACTTAATTAAATGGCAGGAATTATTCAACCACCAAATCCCAATTCAAATTTCACTTGGCCTTCATCATATTGGGGGAAGTTGCCTGCAGCCTCCACTGAAGTATTAACCCAGTGCTGGTGTGCTTGAGTTTTCATTGAGGATCCTAAAGGCTATGAGTTGAGAGATTTCCCTGGTGTTCCCAGTTGGAACATGGAAGACAATTTTTCCACAGAAAGTGCTGCAAAGCATGGCTAAGCTTTACTGCCTATTAGTACAGAGTAATTCAGTTATATTATAGACATATTATTCATGTTTCAGACTGCTCTGAACCATCCTTTCTAACATTATTTTCATGGGGAAATGCCTTCTGGGTTCCAAACAACTGATTTATAAGCTGGCTTAGATGTAACTCACTTGTAAATTGAAGATGGGCTGAATGCTTCTAGGCATATACTGCTATGTGATTCTACAGGTGAGATTTGTAGGCATCATACCCTTAAAATTCAAAGTTCTCAGAGGGCAGGGAGAAGCTCTGTTTTGCTTACATGTTTAGAGCACTCTATTGCTATGTTAAGTGATCATGGAATGAGTTTCAAATAAAGACAATGTAGCATACAGAAAGAAAACCTAGATAGAATCAAATTTGGGAAGGTATTTTTTTGTGACCATCAGAATATTAACTGGAGTATTATTACTTCAAAATCAATGAATTACAAATATATCACTTCACAGAGTGCTTTATTGGTTCAACATAATAAAATCATTAATTTGTAGATTTTGTGCTTTTGATAGTGCACAAAAACAAAGCAACCCACTAGACTGCTTCTTCAGGGGATTTAGCTATCAATAAAATGGATTATTTCATTCATATAAATGAATTGAAATGGGAGTATTATCTAACCATTAGGGAAACCTTTATTGAACGATCACAATTCAGGATGCTATGAAGACACACAAATAAAAGGCAAGGAAATTATAACTGAATAAAGAAAACGGAAACTAGAACTGGAGAATCAACTCTGAATGGTGGAAGTACACAACTATAGAGACCAAATTATAGATGTCTAGAAGCATGTATTGTCCAGATATGCTCTCAAGTCAAATAAACTCCGTATGTACCTCCAAGAAAAAGTCAGAGGTAGAAAATAAATGGTCAAGTCGCCTGAGAGTAATGAGATTATATTGTTTTAATCATGCCCCATGATCCTTTGTTTCCTACTATTTATTTCAGGAGAAGCATGACTACTGGTTACTTGTGTGATCTTGGGCAAATTACTTGTCTATTTTATTATTTGTGTAGTGTAATTTGATCGAACTAAATAATGCATATAGAATTCTTATCACAGTTCCTTGCACAAGGTAAAATGATAGTAGCTGATATTTTTGCTTTTGCTATGGCTGCTTATTATTTTTGTTAGCAGACTCTGT